CTACCAGTGTCTGCTGCTGCTTCACCGTTCGTCGATAACTTTTCGGATATCCAGAATACAGGACTCTCCGATTGCGTTTCGCTTGCTTCATGGCGTTATATCTCGCAATTACCACCGTCATTACGAGAAAAAAGCCGAGAATCACCACCACAGGCAGCACCAACTGACGATAAACCGCAGTCGCTGCAGAGAACAGTGTTTGCTCGGCTGATACGTACCAAGCCAGCATCCGCTTCACTGTGCTTGTACGCTCAGCACTATCTGAAGGTACAGTATTGCTCTTTGCCGAGTCAGAACTTGTCTCTTTCATCAAGTCTCGGTCCTTCTCCCGCATCTTTTCGATCTCTTGTTGGAGTTGTTGTTCCTTCTCCAATATTTGTAGCTGCTCCACAACTCGCTGCTTTTCTAGTTCCTGTTGCTCCAATTCCTGCAGTCTCTTTACCTCCTTCTCCTCCAGTTCCTTCTTCATCTGTCGCTGACTCTCCAGCTCCTGTAACATCTCCAACTCTCTCTTAACTTTCATCTCTTGCTCTTTCTGTAACTCCAACTCGTTTTGAACTTCTAATTCCTGTTCTTCCTTCTCCTCTCTGATCTTCTGTAGAGTTTGCTCGTTCTTCTGCGTAGCCTCTCTGAGTCCATGCAGCGTCTTCTTCCACGTCGTGACGTTCTCCACCGCCTCCTGCCGCATCCGATCCACCTCTTGCATCGCCGACTCCATCTCCTTCTGCACTTCTTCCTGTATGACAGCCAACTTGGCCCGCGTCTCCAGTGAGAACAGCTGCAACTGCGTGTTCTCCAAGGAGAAGATCTCTGTCATTTGCTGCGCTGCACTCAGCTGCTTCTCCACAATCAGGAATGCGCGCTGTGTCTCCTCCATCTTGGCTGAAACGAGTTGGTCCAGCTCATCCACCGGACTGCCCCCACATATGCTCCCCACACACAGCAGCAGCACACCGCACATACACTTGATATTCGCCATCACTTGTTTGAATTTGAACAGGAATCGTTATTCACGTGGTGCACATCAAATTGATGTCCACCACATTTTTTTGTAGTAGATTGCCTGTGACTTAAGCTTGGTATACTGCAGACGTACTGGGGCAAAACCTCCCGCGTTAGTTCCTTGTGTCTCCAGTTCAGCGACCTGAATAAGAAAAATCATTCTAACAAATTTTCGCAGTGAAAAACCAGATTATTGGCGCTTTCACCACCTTCGAGTTGCCTGACACAATACCGGCTGCAGATTGTTTCTTTTTCTAAAACAAATTTTAGGTAAAAAAAAAAAACTGTTAGTAGGAAAAAAATATGTTACTTACCGCAGACTTGCCGACGCATTCAGACCGCGTAATTTACGCGTGAGTGACTGCATTTTGTCCAATATGGACTCGTAGCTCTCCATGTATTCCACCACTGCCAAGCTCAGTCTATGACTGGCGCACTCCACAAACGGCGCCTTCATCAACGAAGCAATGCAGCCATTTGTTGCGCAATTGTCAGCAACAATGTAGAGAATGTCGGACAGCGAGCGCTTGAAGAACCACAAAATCATGCGTAGAAAGGCTACATGAGCCATGGCAGAGTGGTTAACGATGTCGTCGTCCGCTAGGGTGGACATGGCGAGCAAAATCTTCTCCATCTTACCGTCGTGACCAAACACGGCGAACACAGCAAGGTAGTGTTCGGAACGGAAAGTCCACCCGTCCCACACAATGCCAAATCGTTTGGGAAGAACATCAGCAATGATATCTCCTAGCGCCTTGGTTAGAAGTATCATGTGGGAAAAGTTAGGGAGCACCCTGAGCGGAGCACCCGAGCAGAAAAAGTGTAAGCGCATGGCGTTAGTAAGTTGAAGATCTAATAAAACTATCCTTGTTTTTGATAAACATTAAATCGTGTAATATGCGATATAAAATATTTTACCACCACACTAGAAAACAAGTCATCCCGATCCCGCTGCCCAGCGTACCCCCATGCTCGGGGTGGTAGAAATGCGTTTTGGAAGTCTTCAGCGTTTTGTCGAGAAACGCTTGAAATGTTAACGATCTAGCGTTTGTGTCAGCCGTCAATTCAGTTTGTCCTGACAATTCAAACCCTGATGGATCGCGTCGTGTGCCACTAACGCCGTATCCAGCTTGGTGAGGCCGTGGCTGTTCACATGTTCGTTGTCGTTTAGTCCTTCGAACAGGTTCAACCACTCGGTCGGTAACCACGCACAGGTACCAGTGTCTGTCGAACTGCTCTGGTAAGAGCTTCAGTCGTTTGATCTAGTACCTTGCACTACCAATTTACGCGCCATTTTCCACAATTTGTGAGTTTCCTTCAGAGCGTGCACGGAAATATTTTTGGGAGAACAAGAGAGTCTTCATCGGCCATTATCATGGTAGCGTAGATTTTAGATGTTGAAACTCCAGCTTTAGCCTGCAAAGAGACTAAATGAGACGTGGACGTGCCTTCAGTGGTCCTTCGTCGTGCATCACGTTGTCTGTGGGTAACATGGACACGGACGTCTGAAGCAGCAGGATGGTTATGGGTCTGACTGCCGTCCTTTGTATGTACAATTCGCCACGGTCCAGTTGGGGCCGATGTATCGACCGCCACAATACTTAGGCGCATTTTACAACCACAGCGCTTTGACGTTACCATTGGGCGCTGGCGGTCTGCATCCTTAAGTTTTCTTGTATTTTCGGCTTACCAGCCCGGTCACATTCGTACAAGCGGCAGCGGACTTTTCCATCTCCATTTAGAGCCAAGTTTTTCCTTGACACATTATTTCGATGTGCTTTGATCCAAGCATGAATCGCGGCTTTGGCAGCTTCTTCAGACTCGTACTCCATTTCGGGTGGCGCGGGGAGATGATGCTGCTGCTGTCCGTTCACCTCACTCGGCGATAATTCAATCTCAGTCGAGGAAGCAGATGCAGGAGCGGACATAGTGGATCGAAGGTTGGTGGTGTCTAGCTGTAAAATATTG